AGAAGGGGGAGGAGAGAACCTGGCCTTCAGAGAACACCTATGCTTGTCGGGCATTACACTGGGTAATTTACATGATTATTTCATTCAATCCTCACATCGATCCTGTGAATCAACCATTATAATCCCACTTTACAAACAAGGTAACAGAGGCTCAGAGAGGTCAAGTAACTTGCCCAAGGTCTCACAGCTGCAGAGCAGTAGTCAGGTATAAACCCACCAAACCACGCTGCCTGAGCACCACCCCAGCTTGGGCCACGGGATCCTCCCATCACCGCATTCATTCATGAGAGAAGCCACTTACGAGGGGTGCTTCATGGCCTCCAGGATCTCCACCAGGGTGGAGGAGGACGTCAAGGAGCTGGCCGCCAACTGCTGAGAGCTGTAACACAGAGAAGGAGAGTGAAATTCCCGAGTCTTGACCCTCTTGCTTTGCTTCATACAGAGCTGGAAACCAGGATGATATGGACACTAAAGGCATTCAAGCAAATTCTGGACAGTTACATCCTGGAGATATCTCACAGGGGGGTTCCTGCTTCCAACGTGTATACGTTTAAAAAAAAAAAAAGGATTCAAAGTGGTTTTGTGTCCAAACTTGCTTCCTTTAATAAGCATCTCCCCTCTGAATAATATGTCAGGCTTGACCCCTTCCAAGAAATCTCTCTAGAAGAATGCTCTGGGCCTTTCACACATCACATCATTTAATCTCACCAAAGAACGCTAGGTAACATGGTCAGAGCACAGGGGGCAGAATCCCAGGATCATCACCATCAGCTGGAGGGCCTCTGGTTTTTCTTGGCCTAAGTTTCCCCATCTGAAAACTGGGGATGATACTGTTCCTGTCTTCCAGGGTTGCTGTGAGGTTAGTGTGTGTAAAATACTGTGCATGGGACTGACACCCACAAAGTCCAAAATGGTAGACCATACTAAACACAGTAACAGTAACATCCACCCTTTGGAACTTGGAGATGTAAAAGGAGCTGGTGAAGGTCAGAGCTGGGAAGCGTCAGGGTCAACGTTTGAATCCCGTCTGTCTGCTCCAGCGCCCAGATCTTTCCGTCACCTGCTGCCCGAGTTCTTCCTCGATGGTACTATGGTCCCTTAAACATGCTTAACACTCAGCGACTGAGCCCAGATTACTGGGCATGGGATACACAGGGCCACCCATCACACCAAACCTGGAGCTTATCTGGAAGCTCCTTAAACCCCTCCCATTCCTCAGTCCCAGCCTCCTCTTCCTACTAGGCAGGTCCAGGACCCACTGCAGCATTTCAGAATCTCAGGGTTAAAGAAGACTTTAAAGACCCTGGAAGTGAACTAATGCCTGAGTCCTCGCGACAAGAGTCCGGACAGAGGCCGCTCCATTGTGTGAGCATCTTCAGTGGCAGAACCAGCTGCTTGGGAGCTCTTTATCGTGAGATGGAGTGTGTTCTCTGTAATTCAGTCATTGGTCCTGATTCATGTTGTTTTTGGCCTTCTCATCTCCAGCCTAAACATTCCCAGTTCCTCTTCCAAAAGCAGAAGAGAACCTGCCACGTGAGCAACGAGGAAGCAGAGAAGTGCACGCCTTTCCTGTGCCCTGGGCTGCCGGAGCCAAAGCGTCTGCCAGACTTGGCAGGGACGTGGGCCTGGGGAGACGACAGAGGCCAGACAAGGCCAGCCTGCGGCCGCCTCCAAACCGACCACCTCTACCAGCCAGTATAGACGAGATGCAGGTAAATCCAGCACAGGATATGTGACATGCAAAGGAAACTGCGTGGCCGCTGATGGGGACCAGCCAAGTGAGCTGCCTCAGATGACCTTCTGCGCTCAGGTGAAAGGTCCAAAGTCATGTCTCTTAGACCATTTAGCTGAGGACCACTCAGTCAGTGCAGTGAGGGAACAAGAGCAGACTGGACAGAATTATGATAAACCAAACGCAGCTGGGAAGGATATAAAAAAGAAGTTTCTCAGATTTGACAACAGCATTAAAAGCTGGGCACTTCCTCCAGCAAATGAGCTCCAAGCAGCTTCTTTTTCCCCTGGTTATTCAGGAACAAGAAAAGAGCCACAGAGGGACATCCCTGGCAGTCGAGTGGTTAGGACTCTGCACTTCCACTGCAGGGGGCACGGTTTCCATACCTGGTTAGGGAACTAAAATCCCACATCCCACACAGCACGGCCAAAATAAAAAAAAAAAAAGAAAGAAAGAAAAGAAAAGAGCCACATTGGGGCACGATAATTGACCCATTCACTGTTCGTCCATTTCCTCAGGTGGCGTGGACTGACTGCACCTGACATAGGCAAGGCATCGGGCCACAGGCACCCCGCGCAGCCGAACGGGTTCGCTCTGGGCCCCCTTCCCAAAGCCCACTCCTGCACAGTGCCTGATGCTTCTCTGTGTCTCTGCGGCAACCTCTTAGCTGTCCTGTGAGGAAGGCAGGGCACTGACCACTAGCCCTGTCGAAAGGTGCTGGTGAGGACTGACTGTCTGGCCTCCCAGATATAACTTGTGGCCGAGTCAGACCTTGGGCCTGGGATCCGGATCCCTGGCCTCTGCAGCCTTTGAGGTCAGACCAGCCTCACTGCCCAGGAGCATGAGTTTGGCCTTTCTGAGTCTCACCTGCTGTCACTGGAGTTTGCAGAGGGGAAGCCCTGTTCCCCTGAGCTCTGCGAGTTCCCAAAGGTCTGGCTGTTGCCTCTGTCCACGGACTGGCCTGTGCTCACCCCCAGACTGGTGCTGTCCAACATCGGGGTGGCCGTCTGGTCCACAGACACCTGTAGGAGATTTAAAAGTTAACACCAAAGGGGGAAAAAAAAATCTTTCAGGCTATTCACACGCACGGTCCTACCCATTCCTCTCATTCCCAGTCCCCACTAGTCCCTGGTTGAGGAGCTAAAGGAGTCCAGGGACCACCCTGCTGGCGTGTGCCCCCTTCTATCGGAGCCAGTGGTGGTAGGGGATTCCTGTGCCCCAAACTGAGGCCACGGGAGGCCAAGGTGCACAGTGAACCCCGGGGACCAGGACCTGACTCAAACCACAAGATTTACACTAAAGAAAACCCCCACCAAAGGAGTAAAGAAGTCAACATCATTCCGCAGGGCTGGGAGAAGGGAGAGAGCACGGTTAGAGACAAGCAGCTCTCCTGGCCCCCAGTCTTCCTCACTCGCGCCTGTCGCAGGTGCAATCAGTCTTCCCATTTGCCCAGGTTCACAGCTCAGGTGCATCTGAAGCTCCCTTCTCCAGCTTCACCTCTAAAGAGAGGCCTCGTCCTGTGGCCTCCCCTCCACCGACTCCCACAACCCCTCAGGCGTGCCTGCCCCAACGCCTGGCTCCCACTGACCCCCCCCACCTCACACACACCCTACCTGTGAGCACTCCAGCTTCATCTTCCTAAAGGATAGCTCCAATCCCATCACTCCCTTACTCTGAAATCTTTCAAGCCTCCACACGAGCTACCGAACTGAGAACCGACTCGCGGCACCGGAGCTCTGGCTCAAACTGCCCCGTCCATGCTCACCCACGGCTCTGTTTCCAGCCGAGTCAACCCTGTGTGTTTAAAACTGTCTGTGTGCCCCACCAACCTGGGACGCCCTTCCCCACCACCACAGGCTATAAACGCTGTGTTTCAAATGCTGCTCCTTTAGTGAAACATTCCCTGACTCACTCTGCCCCCATCCCCAAACAGAAACTGTCTCTCTCTACTTTGGGTCTCTGACCCCTGCCTGGGAGCTGCCAGGTTTTGCTTCATGTCATGGCTTTCTATCTGTCTCATTCCCTTTAAACGGCCTGGAGGGCAGGACTATGACCTGCCCACCTAGACAGGCTGCACCCCACAGTAAACATCTGGAGAGAACAGCAAGTTTTCCAGAGCACTTCTGGAAAAGTCTAAGACTCCTAGTCCCTCTTACATGGGGTTCTCGAGTACTTCCAGAATGGAGCCTTATATTATCAGACACTCTACTGGATGATGGAAAAATCACTCCTTCTAAAACAGGGTATCTCGGGACTTCCCTGGTGGCGCAGTGGTTAAGACTCCACACTCCCAATGCAGGGGCCCCGGGTTTGATCCCTAGCCAGGGAACTAGATCCCACATGCATGCAGCAACTAAGAGTTCACATGCCACAACTAAGGACCTGGAGAACCATAAGTAAGGAGCCCACCTGCTGCAACTAAGACACAGCTCAACCAAATAAAATAGTAAAACATAATAATAATAAAATAAATAAAACAGGGCATCTCAACCATGGCATTATCGCCGTTAGGGGCCAGATAAGCCTTTGTTGTGGGGACTGTCCTGTGCATCCTGGGGTGCTGAGCAGCTCCCTGGCTCCTACTCACCAGATGCTAGTAATGACCCCCTTATCATCTCCCTCTGCTCCAGTTGTGACAAATAAAAATGTTTCCAGGTATTACCAATCGTCCCCTAGGAGATAAAATCACCCCCGGTTCTAAAAGAACCAATTTGCTCTCCTACATCAGGCTCAATGAACTGCCAAAAAAAAAAGGACCAATAAGTCCTTGCCAGCACCATAAATACTGAGAAATGCAGCAAGAAGCAGCTTGCAATTACCAGCCACCACCTGCCCCCAACGAGTGAGACTTAGGAATAGATGCTACACCGAAAAATTAAGTTAGAAACTAACAGAGGAGACTAGACTCAGTTCTCAGGCACAGAAGCCTCTAGGTGCTGCCTCTCTGGTGGGGTCATCTCTCGTCTACTGCCCCTGAGAACTGCCCCACCAGCCTGAATCAGGAAGTGGTTAAAAATTATCCTCTAAATCAGAAATTGGCAAATATTTTCTGTCAAGGACCAGATGGTAATTATTTTAGGCTTTGTGGGCTATAAAGCCTGTTGAAACTTATACAGTTTCTGTATAAGTGAAAAAGCACAAAAGCAGCCATCAATGATGTAAATGAGGGGGTGTGGCTTTGTCCTGATAAAACTTTATTGACAAAAGCAGATGGTGGGCCAGATTTGCCACACAACCTCCATCTTTCAAGAGGCTGCTTAGATGGGACTCCTCTGGTGGTCCAGTGGGTAAGACTCTGCACTCCCAATGCAGGGGGCCCAGGTTCAATCCCTGGTCGGGGAACTAGATCCCACATGCATGCCACAACTAAGAGCCTGCATGCTGCAACTAAACATGCCTCAATGAAGATCCTGTGTGCCACAACTAAGACCCAGTGCAGCCTATATAAACAAATAGATAAATATTAAAAAAATAAATAAAAAAGAGCCCGCAGAGAAAGGCATTTTGCTCAGATCTTAATACCAGGAAAAGTTATGCTTCTCCCCAACAACTGGTTTGTCTTTATCTCATGACCACTCTGAATCCTGGAACAGATGTTTCCCACTTTTCTTTGGCTACCAGGAAGTGCAGAGCTGAATTTAGCAGGAAACTCTAAGTACGTTATAAGACCTCGTAGGATGTCCTGTTTTATTTTTTCTTTTCCTGAATTTCCCCATCTAGTCACATTTTTATTCTGGAGGTTGCATTTATTTCCATAATCCACCTGAAGAAACTTTTTGGAATAAGACCAGTGGGAAAAGACAGACAAAGAGATGGACAGAACTGCTGTTGTCTCACACGGAGACCTGAAAAGAGCCAATCAGAGGGAGGTGCTTGGTCTGGGATGGGTTTTGTCTTAGGAACCTCATTCAAAACCTTGCTTACAGAAGGACCCCATTAAACCTGTGCAGATGGGACCTTCCAGAGGTGAGTTTAATCTCCTGTCTCCTCTTTGGAGTGGGCTAGATTTAGTGACCTGCTTCCAGAGTATAGAAAGGGGAAACAGCAGCTTCACAGTGGAGACAGCTGGCAAGTACCACGTCACCAAGCGATGACGGTTCACGTCACCAGTGATGTTGTGTGGACCTTGTGGACCTCCATGGGAAGTGATGAGGTGGGTACTTCACCTCTGAGGATTCTTTTCAAAAACCTATAACTCCCGTCTCGCCATGAGAAAAACATCAGACCAACCCAGATTTGGAGACTTTCTACAGGATATCTGGCCAGGACTCCTCCAGACCATCAAGGTCATTAAAAAAAAAAAAAAAAAAAAAACAA